CGAGATAGAACTGTCGATCATTGATGGCGAAGGCACTTAGCCTGAGTCCCAGTTCGAGCGAGGTCGAACTGTCGATCTTTGATGGAGAAGGCATTTAGCCTGAGTCCTAGTTCGAGCGAGGTCGAACCGTCGAGACTTAATGGGGAAGGCACTTAGCCTGAGTCCTAGTTCGAGCGAGGTCGAACTGTCGAGTTTTAATGGCGAAGGCACTTAGCCTGAGCCTCAGCTCGAGCGAGGTCGAACTGTCGATCTTTGATGGCAAAGGCACTTAGCCTAAGCCCCAGTTCGAGCGAGATCGACCTGTCGAGTTTTGATGGCGAAGGCACTTAGCCTGAGTCCCAGTTGAGCGAGTCGAACTGTCGATCTTTGATGGCGAAGGCACTTATCCTGAGTCCTAGTTCGAGCGAGGTCGAACTGTTAATCTTTGATGGCGAAGGCACATAGCCTGAGTCCCAGTTCGAGCGAGGTCGAACTGTTAATCTTTGATGGCGAAGGCACATAGCCTGAGTCCCAGTTCGAGCGAGGTCGAACTGTTAATCTTTGATGGCGAAGGCACTTAGCCTGAGTCCCAGTTCGAGCGAGGTCGAACTATTAATCTTTGATGGCGAAGGCACATAGCCTGAGTCCCAGTTCGAGCGAGGTCGAACTGTTAATCTTTGATGGCGAAGGCACTTAGCCTGAGTCCCAGTTCGAGCGAGGTCGAACTGTTAATCTTTGATGGCGAAGGCACTTAGCCTGAGTCCCAGTTCGAGCGGGTCGAACTGTTAATCTTTGATGGCGAAGGCACTTAGCCTGAGTCCCAGTTCGAGCGAGGTCGAACTGTCAAACTTTGATGGCGAAGGCACTTAGCCTGAGTCCCAGTTCGAGCGAGGTCGAACTGTTAATCTTTGATGGCGAAGGCACTTAGCCTGAGTCCCAGTTCGAGCGAGGTCGAACTGTTAATCTTTGATGGCGAAGCCACATAGCCTGAGTCCCAGTTCGAATGAGGTCGAACTGTCAAACTTTAATGGCGAAGGCACTTAGCCTGAGTCCAAGTTCGAGCGAGGTCGAACTGTTAATCTTTGATGGCGAAGGCACATAGCCTGAGGTCGAACTGTCAAATTTTGATGGCGAAGGCACTTAGTCTGAGTCCAAGTTCGAGCGAGGTTGAACTGTTAATCTTTGATGGCGAAGGCACATGGCCTGAGTCCCAGTTCGAGCGAGGTCGAACTGTTAATGTTTGATGGCGAAGGCACATAGCCTGAGTCCCAGTTCGAACGAGGTCGTACTGCCAAACTTTGATGGTGAATGCACTTAGCTTGAGTCCCAGTTCGAGCGAGGTCGAACTGTTAATCTTTGATGGCGAAGGCACATAGCCTGAGTCTCAGTTCGAACGAGGTCGAACTGTCAAACTTTGATGGCGAAGGCACTTAGCCTGAGTCCAAGTTCGAGCGAAGTCGAACTGTTAATCTTTGATGGAGAAGGCACATGGCATGAGTCCCAGTTCGAGCGAGGTCGAACTGTTAATCTTTGATGGCGAAGGCACATGGCCTGAGTTCCAGTTCGCTCAATCTTGCATTGGAGAATATGACGTATTTCCTGGGGGAGTCCCAGTTTGCTTAATTTTGCTTGCATTGGAGAATATAATGTATTTCCTGGGGGAGTCCCAGTTTGCTTAATTTTGCTTGCATTGGAGAGTATAAGGCGTTTCCTGTTCGCGCGTCTGGGAGAATGCTCCTGCTTCTATTCCTCTTAGAAAAATAGTTAGTTAGATCAAATAAAATCATTCGTTACCTCGATTTGATCTATTGCAAAGAAATGCTAGGAGGGCAAGCGCAATTAGCAGGAAGCGGTGACGCTGGAGTAGAGTCGAACAACTCCCAATTTCATCACCTCGTGAATGTTGTCTTTTTAATGATGATGAAGTTGAAAATGCAGTCCAATCTCATACACCTGGACTTGAGTTGTGTCCAAAGTACTGAACAACTTTGAGCTAATGTGGTTCCTTATGCGACTGGCACAGAGAACAACACAATCCGGCTAAGCACAGTCTACTTCTGCCTGCAACCAATACCGATCTTGAAATGGGTGGATTCTTCCCTGTTAGAATATAAAAACCCGACTCCAGGAGGACTCAAACTTGAGATCCGAATTGTAGCAAGCATTAAGAAACTACTACGTAAGTCAAGTTTGCATATCAGGATAGACTTCACACATGGATATGTTCCCGAGGGTGTTTCAATAACTAGATGAATTTTTTTTCCAGTTTAATATTAAACGTGCAGTTATACCCATGAACCCTGCAGTTGAACCAAAGAGCATAAAATATTCCCTAGTCATGTCATTCTTTTGCAGATATTTTCTTGCCTAGGGGATTAATAAGTAATATTTACATGGAAATGTTCTTTCAGAAAGTTGTGACATGTGATGCATGAAGATTTTATTGGTCTCTAGCAAGCAAAAGTTGTGGTAAATGTATGTGCTGTAGAAGCTACACAAGAACTTGCTATAATGAAATTTGAGATCTAGAGGAAACTAAAATTTTAACTAGAAAATCCCCACAGACGGCGCCAAATTGTTTGACTCAAAAAGTTGTATAATACTTTCTAAGCAAATCAATCAATGTAGATGAAGGGGTAAATCCTAGTTAAAGATAATTAACTCTAGATCCGAGACGAATAATATGAGTAGAAAAATATAGCCGAGTATAAATGTTGACATCGATTAAGATCGGATTTAATGGCATAAGTAAAGATGCATTAAGTAACAAAAATATGAATAAAGGAAAAGATTCACCCGATCTTCGGTGAGACGGATCTTCTTTCATTTAATAAAGATCAATGGTAGACAAATACAAGAACCTTATGACCCTTTTTGGATCCGATTAAGGTATGGGATCATTGATCCTCTCAATTCTTTGGAGAGGTGTGTTTACATATTTTTTAGAAAGAGGGAGAGGGAGACAGAGAGAGAGCCCCCTTTTTGGGAAGTTCTCCCTTCCTATTTATAAGGTGGGGATATCCATAGAAAATCCTAAAAAAAAGGTACAATTTAGAGGAAATATTCGGTAGAATATTCCTTTTGAGTATCCCAAAGCAAACTAGCTGTTTGATGACGGTCCGACCTTATTGATAACGGTCCGACCTTGGTTATTGATGACGGTCCGACCTTGGGTTGTCTGACCACGACCTTATGTCTCCGCGTGCTGAATTTCTCTGATCTAATATTTGACCCATACAGTTCTCTATCAGAAGCTACACGAAAAAAAGTTTTAGAAAAGAAAATTATGGCTGCTCACACTTTCAGAATAGGTTTAATATACGCATCGTTCCATGATGGTGTGTGTCTAATAGGCAAAGTTTGAGCATCCATCAGGTTTCTAGTGGATCGCAACCTTAGTTTAGGTCATTAGGTGGCTACATAAAAGCTTTTGACAAGTTTCAGTAGTGCATCCACGATGCCTATAGGAGTTTCTTTTCCTTCTCCAGCAAGTGAAGGAAAATGCCAAAGTGGTAGATTTATATTCTCTTCTTTAAATGAAAGGAAAAATTAATTAAGATAAATATGTTATCCTTCTTTCAACAAAAAGTAAAAATCAAAATATATGGTAAGAAAATCAAAGCATACAATTAACATATAGGTTCAATTATCGCAACAAAAACATTCGTGGTCTACACAAAATGCTAAGAATATTGAGAATTCTCGAATCAAAAGGAGTTAATATGGTCAAATCGACGTATTAATGTGACTTAGTAGCAAGATGATAGCTTTCTTCTGTCCTAGTTTATCAACTAAGTGATTTCATATTATCTTTCATTTGTTTATCAACTTATTCTTTCGTTTTGATAAAAAGCCACTCTTTCTGTGTTTTATATGGGGTGTTTAAGAAAGTAAGCTTTTGATACAAGAAAGCTAAATATTCATTATAGTACCAAAAATACCATTCAGAATTTTATGGTCTTAAATATGTTATCTATCTTTATAGAAGAATATCACTAAGGATAAAATAAGAACACCAAAATCCGAACATAATGATTGTCCAAAGGCACCATCGTATCCAAGAATTATTAGATATGCCATCCATACCTGCAAGTGGTTTGCAGGCTCATAAGGTGACCCAAAATTGCAAAGTTATTTTTCTATATTACCACTAATGAAAATAATGGCAGTCTTTGTCTTCCTTATTATCTAGAGATCGCTAGCTAGTAAATATTACTATTACGTTTTAGTCTGTTTATAAAACAATATGTCTATCAGATATCATTTATATCATTTTCATTTGGAATGTTCTCAAAACAAAGATTCTATCAATTTAATTGGGAATACAAAAAGTACGAAATGGTTTCAATAGACCAGATACATTAAGTAATTATACAATTAAAAGTAGTGAAAAAGAATATGAAAATGAAATGACTGGAAGAGTTTCAACTAGATTATTAGATGAATATTATTGGAAATACAAAAGTATTTCATAAGTTTCAAAAAGTATCTCATACGTCACATGGTATTTTATATTTTCATATAGAATACAGTAGAAAATTAAAGGCTAAGTTTATTACGAGATAGGTTTACCTTTAATACGATTGGTGTTAAAACGAAGGGAAAAAAGGTCAGTTAACTTTTAATGAATATTTTAGTCATATATATATATATATATATATATATATATATATATATATATATATATATATATATATATATATATATTAGTAAAATATAGTTAGATCAATTAATATTAACCAGATACGAATTAATGTTGATCAAATTATGTAAATATTTTTTTTATATTATCAATGTATGGAATTTAGACATTGTTCACAAGAAAACATGGTAACAATGGACACAATATTATTTCCATAACACAATACTTAATTATACGTGACTTTTAGTTATAATAAATTGTATATTGATCATTAATGATACTGTAGTAACAAAAAAACATTAAAGACTTTGGGCCCATGAGTCCTCTGCCGGAAAAGGACTGTAGCCTCGGAACAAATGAAAATAATAAATGAAGGAAAGAAAATAAAATGTTAAATAAAATCATAAATTGTTATAAAAATAAAGACTAGAAAGTCAATAAAGTATAGAAATGCCTAGCATAAAGACTACAAAGTATATGAATTGTTTTGACTCCCTATTTATAGACGAAAGGAAGCTGCTTCAATGCTGATGCCTTTGGCATATTACTTGTGTAAGAGCTGGTCGAGAATAGGCGAAAACGCCAATGATCTTAGAGATCTTAGTTGCCTTCCTTTCACTAACTTCTTCATCTACGTTAATGGTCATCTTCTCGAGAATAGGGGCAGACGCCAGTACTAACCTTACAAACCGCAATTCCACTTTTGAACCATGGAATCCATGTATTCCCAGAGTTTGAAGGTTATTGAGTTCATCAATCCCGCAACCTTGTCCTTTCAACTGATTTGAATCTACTTTCCTGGAACCATTCTTGATCCGACTCAACTATAAGTAGTATAAAGAAAAACTAGTAAGATTTGCATCTCTATACTTGGAAAATAGAGTAACAACTCATGAATTCAGCAACTCACCAGAAGGTTAAGTAACTTCAAATTCAGACAACTTCTAAGAATGCATAGAAGGGAACAAATTTGATCTTCATCATTAAAATCGAATAGATAAAATTCGAGATTGACCAAGTGATTGAGTATCGTTGACAGCCTCCTTGCTACATTACTAGAAGCCAAAAACTGGACAAGAAAAAACAAAATGGCAAAATAAGAACGTTATTAGTTAGAACAATGTACAACATTATTCTGAGCTATGCATCATACCTTGAGGGAGCATCCGTCCAAGATAAGTGCTCTAACTTCAGGCAAGCTGCCGAGAAGTTTTACCAAGTTCATTGCTTCATGTTGTCCGTTTTGTGAAACTTCTTGTTGTGGCATAACTGCAAAAAATATTACCTTTCGGCAGTCCTTGAATGAAATCCATTTTATTGTGTCAATTCCACAATTGCAAAATTTTAAACATAAGAGTTCTGGGGCATATATATTCAAGTGATGAAGACCACTACACTGTGTAAACATCAGATCTAAAAGGTTTGGAACACAGAGGAAAGAAGATGCAACATCTAATTGAAACGAGACTCGATTTAGTGAAAGGCTTTTCAGCTTTTGGAACCCTCTAAAACTGCATGGTGGCCTGAAAATGCAGTTTGAGAGATTCAAATGTTCTAGCTCTACACCGTACACAGAGGAAGGCAACTTATAAGGAGTATTGAGATGTTCTAAACACCGAAGGGTGAGATCCACAAGACCATTTCTTGACAAATGTAGCATCCATAGATCAATAACTGAGTGCTCAGAAGGATTTATTATTGAAAGATCAAGGAGAAATGTCTTAATGGGTCCATAGTGATGCAATAGTACTCTATTAATGATGTCTGTTATGCTTGATTGCTTTCCCTTTCTGCAGAAGTTCGCAGAAATTGTGAGCTTTGGATTTGAAGCCCAAATATATCTCCAGTCACTGGACAAGACACTCATTCTTGCGGCATCCTCAATAGTCATGAGCTCTTGAATTTGGTGTATGACATTAATAGGAAGATCTGTAAGTCTATCAAGTTTGTCTCTTCCATCGTGAAGTCTTTTATAGCTATTTGTTATCATGACTGTAAGTCCTGTCCATTTAAACCAACAAAAATAAGCGTAGAAAATGCTTCACACATGCTGCATATGGAAATCCAACTTCATATTCTAGTCTAGAAAGTAATGTTATAGTTTAAAACGACTTGTTTAAAATCAATCCAGACTCACGCTTATCTAGATAATCAGATGGAAATTAATGATGAGATTTCAAAACAGTCATCATTCTACAAATTCCAATTTTTTTTGAATTTATTCTACCAAGTACAAAGTTTGGCATGAAGAGGTTAAGAGTTGTTGAGAAAATCTATAGCATCCTTATATAACAGACATCACTATAACAACATCCTTTTATAACAGACATTCATTACAAAAGTCAAGTTTTTCTAAGAATCGATTTTTTAAGTTATATTTTACCCCTCTATAACAGCTTTTTACATCTAACAACAACAACCATATTTATAGCATAATGCTCTTTATAAAGTTACCCCTCTATAATAGACATATAGAATATGCACTCAATCTTTTATATTAAACAAAGTTCCTATCTTGCATAAGATATAAGATTTGAAGATTTGCACACGATATCTTTTCCATTGGACAAATTTTTAAAAATAATTAGATAAAAATTTAATTATTTAGCTTTTAGATTGTCTTCGAGGGAAAGCTATTGGATACCTTTTTGCTGAAAATTTGGACACGAATACATCTTTGTCAATTCAAGTGTTATAGGACTATCAAGTGAATGAAATCTACGAAACAAACTACAATTACAAAGTTCTTCCATCAATCTTGAAAGAATCTGTTTTTATAGTTAGCTTTAAAATATTTGTCTTAGAGTTTAAATCTTTATACGTTTAGTCATGAATTTATTAATAATGTATTAGCTTTTCCAATATTTAACCAATGAAATATGCATATATTTTAAGATTTTAAATTTGAATAATTCTTTTATCTGTTATGTGTTAAAAAAGGACAAATAATTAATTTTTGGATAATTTTTATCTGTAAGAACCAAAATATATTTAAACATCAAATGTTCTTGTAGGTGTATAACAACTATTCATTATATAAGCCAGGAGCTCCTCCAACATCCGCACTACAACCAAGAAAAATGCTCTCCAGAGCGATATATGATGCTAAACCGAGACCGAGATATAGAGAGGGCTGTCCTTTTGTTGTCTCGAAGAGACAAAAGCACTCATATGAATGGTGCTAATTCCCATGTTCTTTCTAGTCTCGTTTGGTTTCGAGAGCCTCCCTCTCCCCGTCCCTTACTCGTCTTTTGAAAGCCGTCGTCCTGGATTTTCTTTCCGTATGCCGGGGAAAGTACCTCACCCTCACCTTTCTACATTTATTATTATATAGAATTTCCCCGGGTCTCTATAAAACAGAATGAAAAGCCCGGGTGGAAGCACAAACAAAAGGAGAGAGAAAAAGTAGAAAAGAAAGGGGGGAAGAAGTCTAGTGCTAGTTCTTACTAAGACTTCTTTATCTGACCGTAAACTCTTACTACCTTCAATATTATCAAGAATATTTAGACCTTATAGCTCTCAATCAAACCTTTGATCTCACGCCAAATTTTACTATTGGGATTTCCTATACAGGCCTGGGCCCTCTTATTATGCTGTAACCGCTGTTGATTAGACGCGAAGTGGTTCAGATCGGCGAAGTAGGCATCAATACCTCTGCCAATATCGGCATCTTCTTCTATCTGAAGGGGAAGGTTCCCTTGCTTAGAGACAAAACCGCGAATCAATCATTTTTCTCGAGCCGTACGAGGAGAAAGTTTCCTATATGTTTCTAGGGGGGTGTTGTTCATCTACAGTGAATAAGAAAAGATCACGTCGCCAAAGGTGGCGGTATCACCGTCTACAGGTCGAGTCATGAGATCTAAAGTGCAAATACTCGACGCCGTGAATCAAGAAATTCGGGTGATATACATACGAAGGCGTTGGTCCATCGGTGCCTTAGGGGAAATCATCTGCGCCAGTGTAAAAAAAGAAATTCAACATTTTTACAGTAGCGAGGAGAAGGAAAGGAAAAGTATGGATTAGTTGAAAGAGCTACTTCTTTTCTAGAAAGCCCTTTTTATGAAATTTCTGAGAGGTCAACCGGGGTACGGATGCTTTATTTATCACCAGGTAGAGATGAATACTATATGGTAGCGGCAGGAAATTCTTTAGCCTTAAATCGGGATATTCAGGAAGAACAGGTTGTTCCAGCTCGATACCGTCAAGAATTCTTGACTATTGCATGGGAACAGGTTCATCTTCGAAGTATTTTTCCTTTTTAATATTTTTCTATTGGAGCTTCCCTCATTCCTTTTATCGAACATAATGATGCGAATCGAGATTTAATGAGTTCTAATATGCAACGTCAAGCGGTTCCTCTTTCTCGCTCCGAGAAATGCATTGTTGGAACTGGGTTGGAATGACAAGCAGCTCTAGATTCGGGGGCTCTTGCTATATCCGAACGCGAGGGAAAGGTCGTTTATACCAATACTGACAAGATTCTTTTAGCAGGTATTGGAGATATTCTAAGCATTAAAAAAAATATAAGAACAAACGAGGGCTTTTATAGAGAGGGTTGACTTCAGGTGCACAACAGACAATCGCTACAAAAGCCCCGAAAAAAAAATTATCGGAATAAACAAAATTATTATAGAGAAGTTTGATGGTATATATGGATATTTCTTAACTTGTAACTCTAATCAGAGAAATCGACTAATCCATGGAAGAAATGAATTTTCGAAGTAGTAAACTCTTGTATTATTTAAATTATATTTGACTCAGAGTTTAGAGAAGAAAAAACCACAACTATAACATCTTTATTGAAAATGATAACAAACAATAAATAAAAAAAAGGAACTAACCTTACAGCGGCGAATGAGAGGGGATTCTGGAGGAGCGGCTGCTGAATAGGGTTTACGGAGAAAGAAAGAGGCGGGCATACCGAGAATGTAATTTTTTTTTAAGGTCAAGGTATTTATAAGTAAATTAATATGATATTTAGGAAGAATATCTACATAATAAATATTACTACTCTATAATTAGTAGCCTCATAAAAATAATAATTAATATATTAATTGGAAAAATATATAGATATACATTCAAAGTTGCCACCAGCTATCAATTAGATACTTCAAGATAACTAATGACTAGATAGACACTTTTTTTTGGCAAGAATATATAACTTGGACACGTAAGTTGGACAAACCACTGGCGTGACATACACACCCAGCTGACATGTCAAATGAACAATTGTACATTGTAATTTAATATATATATATATATATATATATATATATATATATATATATATATATATATATATATGTTAAAATAAAAAATAAAAGAACAACCCATTCCTAATCTGACCTCCTCCCCCCTCCCTCAACTAACTCACTGCCTGCCAACCAAACGCTAGCCATCTAACACGCAGAAGAGGTTGAGAGGGTCTTGCGCAACTTTCAGATTATCACAAGCGCAACCTTTGACCCCTTCATCGAAAACCTCTAATTTGTTAGACAACTCATGTGTGCAATTAAGTTGAGGAAAGTTGTTTACAAGCAGTGGTTATGAGCTGTTTCTTGTTTCGGTTCAGAAGAGGGTGCACACCTTTAGTTGCACTACTGGAATAAATAACCTTTATTTTAGTGCCAAGCGAAGATATCATCGCCACTCTACCTCATTACACAAATTTTCTCCTTCATCGACTTCTTGCATCATCCTTAACCATCAATTTCAAAAGGAATCATATAGGTGATACTTACTAGTTAATAATAGGCTCTAAATTTATCCGAGAGCTTTAAGTGTTATTACAATTTTTTTTCCTTATTTATTGTTATTGTTATGATTATTACTACTACTACTACTGTTGTTGCTGCTACTACTCCCTCCATTTAAAAAGAAAATATTACTATTTGGGGAGTCAAATAAGGCTTTTTTTTTACCATTTTTTTTGCAAATATTTTTTTAGAATATTTTGATATTTAATTATTGTGACTTCTATTACTTATCAAGTAGTTTCTAAATATGTAAGCTTTATTTATAATTAGTCAATTTGGGCCTTATACTCCGAAAAAGTTCGAACAGATCGAAACATGGAGTATTATTTATGTATATATTTAAATAATCTTACTTTATTTGAAATTAGTCAATGACTATATATGTTGAGCTTAAAGAAATAAGTGAGGATTCACATTTATGATCCTAACTCGGTTGTGATTGAGTCGTAATCGTTTGTTGTTGTTGTTGGTAAAATAAAAGCATTATTTCTCTAGAAAAACTTGGGGCAACCCTATTAAAGATATCAATGCCAGCACTATAATATATTCCCTCCGTTTCAAGAGAATTGGCACTATTTCCTTATTAGTGTAACGGTCCGATCGGCCGTTTTGAGATTTTTTATTTAGTTCAGTAGTTTGAGATCGTGAGTAACTTCATATGGTGTATTATGACTTGTGTATATGGTCGGTATTGTTTTCCGAGTTGTTCGAAATTAATTTGGAAGAATGATTCTCAAATAGGAAGCTTTAAGTTGGAAGAGTTGCCCAAGATTGACTTTTATGTATTTTACTGCGGAGCAGAGCTTTTATGATTTTGTTAGGTCCGGATAATGATTTTGTACTTGCGTGTATCCCAAATTTGCATTTAGATGTTTCTAGAAGGTTTTTGGCGAAAGTTGACAATTTGAAGGTTTAGAAGGTTCATAAGTTTGACCGGGATTTGAGTTTGATGATAACGGTGTCAAATTATTGCTCCGGGAATTAGAATGGGTTTTTTTATGTCATTTGAAATTGTTTCTAAAATTTGAGGTCATACTGAGTTGATTTGATATAGTTCAACACGAGTTTTAGAAGTTGAAAGTTCAAAAGTTCATTAAGTTTGATTTAAGGTGCGGTTCGTGGTTTTGATGTTGTTATATGTGATTTGATGCCTTGAGCAGGTGTATTTTGTATTTTGAGACTTGTTGGTATGTTCGTACAAGGTCCTGAGGGGTTCGGGTGAGTTTCAGGGTGGTTTCGGATTATTTAGGTGGATGATTTCATTGCTGGATTTCGGTGGCTTCTGATGCCTTGATTGTTCTTCGCG